TCCCCAAATGCCTACAGCAGCTGCGACTGAGTCAAACTGAAGCCAGGAGCTGGAAACTCCACCTGGGCCTCCTGCATGGGTGGCAGGAACCCAAGGACTTGAGCCATCAAGTGCTGTCTCCAGGGTGTGCATTAGTTAGAACCTGTATCAGAAGCAGAGGAGCTAGGACACAAACCAGGAACTCTGACATGGAATAGGGGCACCCGAACAGTGTCCTAACTGCCATCCCAAATGCCCATCCCTAAACTTATTTTTTAAATCCATTTTCCAAGAACTTTTTGAAGTCCCTTCATAAGCATAAATTTAGATGCCCCAAAGTAAGTTATTTCCCAAGAGAGACTTATTCCTAAAAAGGCATTTAAATTATTACAAATTAGCATAAATAATTACATTCTGAGATGTCACCTAGCTAATTATACATGCTGAAATAATTACAAAATACAAATATATTTTTGTGCAAAATACAAGGATAGAATCACAAAATGATTTGATATGAACTGTCACTTCCATTCACACTATATTACTGTAAGCACATCTGTTCCTAAGTACTAATATGGTTTCAAATCTCACATTATTTATCTACATAAATTAAATGTGCAGGTGGTAAGGCTGTGGGGTCATCATGGCATTCCAAAGGCCACAATTACAACTCTTCTTGTGTTAAAAAACATTACACTGTTTTCCTGTATAAGGGATCTTTGGGAAATTCATGGAAAATACATATCATGAAAAAACTATGCATGCATTTCAAAAATTTTTGTACCAAAATAAATGTCTTTTAATTCTAATTTTCCACAAACTTTTAAAAGTACTCTGCTATATGTTCTACGATTACTGAAATGACATCTATACAATCCTTTAGAAATCTTAGGAACTACTCTGTAGTCTGGCAAGGGACAAATAATCTTAGGGGTACCTTACATGTTTTCTATATTTAAGAAAACTGTAATTAGAGATCTCAGAAGAATATGGGTTCTTATCAGATTGCTTTTTAGAGGAATAAGATGTGATACACTGAAGGTGGTAAATAAAGAACAGTAAGTAATTCAAAAAGCAATTTTTTTAACATTTCTCATACTAAGAATTCTCAATTTGTATAGTTTGGAAGCCTTGTGAGTCCCGGTTGTGGTTTATTTTGCTAAATATCCCTTTCTAAAATTAGCCAAAATGATATAAATTCAGCTCAACAGTGCCACCAGATTTTAACTATTCCCATAGCATAGATTCAGTAGATAGGAACATTTTATTCTTTCATATTGTTGTAAGCCACATTATTGAGGTATGATTAACAAACAAAAGACTATACATGGTTAATATGTACAACATAAGGAAACTTATTTTGTGATAAAATATACCTGTGAAACCATTACTACACTCAAGGCCATAAACATATCCATCAGTTTGAAAAGTTTCCACTTGGATCTTATTGTATGTATTTTTCCTTATTCTTGTATCTTACCCCATTCATTGTATACATTTTTTTTCTTATGAAGAGTCGCTCAGTGGAGATTTTTAAAAAGTCTTTTATTTAACAAACACTTGGATACCACAGTCCCTTCTTTTACCTCCCAGGCTGCTTGCACGGCACTTAAAGTACATTGCTGCAAATTTCTCTTGATCCAAGTGTGCAAGTTCTCTCTCTGCATGAGAGTTCTGCATGAAACATGCCATTTTTTCGTCTCGGATTGTGAAGTCAAAAATCTGATGATGTGTTTAGTAACATTGCTAGCATCTACTGATTCCCTTCTGGAATCATTTTTGGTAGGGTGCTCAGGTCAATATAAAGCTGGCTGGATTAGAGTCCAGCACTTTGGATTTCTGATATATACAAATAGCAAATTTAGCTCCTTGGTATTCCTTAATGATGCAGTTTATCAAACTGATTTAATATTTTCTGTTTTTGTCTCACATTTCTGCTAAATGTATTTCAAATACACATTTTAAAAAGAATGGGCATGGGATTTTGGAGGTTTTTCAACAAAGTGATTTCCCAGTCCCAGAAACAGAGCAATAAATTGTTATTTCTTGGATAATTTTATTTATTTTAATATGAAAAAGTTTCATTACAGGCAGCTCTGTTCTTTTTGAGGTTATGCTACAGCAACATCAATACTAAACAAATTCCAAACTTAAAACCTTTCTCCTCTCTCCCACATAAGACTTTCAATATTATGAATGATTATTTATTAAAGTAAGTTAGAATTGGGACTTACCAGGCTTCAAGACTATTTGTAATTTATATGCTCTGTTTTCTAATGCTTTAATTCTATCCTGCCATAGAGTAGGCATAATTCTTATTTTATATCATTTCACCAATGCTTTGTTAGATTTACTATATAGTTGCTAATATATCTAAGTTTACCACAATCTAATAGCATCCATTTTAGATAAATTCTGCTTGATTTTATACACACACACACAGACTCATGCACTTTAACATTTCCTCAGCGAGGTCTGCATGAAACAAAAACTGTTTTTGTAGTCAGAGAGTGTCTATAATTTTCTTTTTTAAAAAAGATTTATTTGAAGGGCAGAGTTACAGATGGAGAACAGATAGAGAAGACTTCCATCTGCTGGTTCACTCCACAAATAGCTGCAACAGCCATTGGACTGGACCAGGCTGAAGCCAGGAGCCAGGAGTTTCTTCCAGTCTCCCACGTGGATGCAGGACCCAAGCACTTGGGCCGTCTTCCACTGCTTTCCCAAGCCATAAGCAGAGAGCTGGATCAGAAGAGCAGTAGCCCAGGACACAAACTGGAGCCCATGTGGGATGCTGGCACTGCAGGAGGAGGCCTAACCTACTACACCACAGAACCAGCCCTTATAATTTTCTCCCATTTTCAACGATAGGTTTGATGGATGTACCAATTGTCAGTCAGTTGACAATTCTATATTCAAGTCCCTGGCTTCCGGCAGCAATTGCCACTGAGAAACAAGCTTTCAGTCCCTGACTCTGTATTTGTAGGTGATGTGTGTTCCCTCTCCCTTTGTAGTTATCTGTGATGTGTCTATAAGCAGTTAATTTATCTTGCTTAGGATCCACTGAAAGTCTGGATCTGAGAATTAGTATCTTTCGATAATTCAGAGAAATACCTAATATATCTAAGTATTTCCTCTTTCCCATTATCTCTTTTATTTCTATCCAGAATTCTGATCATTTCCTCCAAAGTTCTTCATTTTCCTTTCATGTTTTCAACTCTTTTTCTAGTGTGTAGTATATTTATCTTCTGGACTAATTGTTTCATTTATCCACTATAATTTTAATTATTACATTTTAATTTCCAGAGGCTCTATTTGATTCTTTTTCATATGTATATGGTCATTCCTTATTGTTTTATTCCTTACATATTCAACCATCTCATTTGTTTAACATTAAATATAACTATTTTACATTCTGTATCTGCTCATTTCATTACCTTTGAGGATCTTATTCTGTCGTCTGTTGTTTCTGTTGGTTCTCATTTATGTAGATTTATTTCCTTGTGTAACTTGTGATTTTATGTTTTTACTCTGAAATACTCATGTCCCTCATGAGAATTATCTCCTATCCTGATTGATGACATTCTTTACAGAGGATCTGTGTTTTGCTTCTACCAGTTACCTGGAGGCATTATCCAGCCAGGTCCATTTTACATTACATACTCTGCTTGGCATTTCTCAAACCACCCTAGAATGAGTGTGGACCAAAGCCTGTTTGAGGGTCTGTTTCTGTTTAAACATAATCATAGTGGGATGTTTTTTCCCCCATCCACCACGGTCAAGGTTGAGGTAGACAAGTTTCCTTGCTGTCTTCTCAACCTCAGACTTATTTTTTCTTCCTTACACTTTGTGGTGAGGCTGTGGAAGTACCTCAGCTTTACGTAGGGTCTGCTACTAAACTCCCATAAAGCCATTAAATTAGGTGTTCAACAGCTTCCAGGGTTTAGAGGAGACTTCAGTGTCAAAGCCTAATCTCCCAGGGTTCTAATTTCTACTTTGTTTAGGAGCCTGAATATTCCTTTTCCTCAATGCAGCTCAGCAGCATATGGCAAAAGACTTTCTGTATTTGCCTAGTAGTTATCAGCAAGAAATAGAAGGCTCTGTGTAATTAAATGGAGACATAAATGAGTGTCTATGTATATGCTTATATAGATGTTTATCATTGTATGTTTTATAGCATATATAATTTCCAGTTGCATCCAGTAAAATCTTGATACCTGCCATACATTTCAATTTTGCAACCATTCTACAAAATAATTGACATTCTCTTGTCATTTGTCTTTTTAAAAGATAAAACATTTGGTATACAGTTATTACAGATTTAAATAATTATAATCCCCTACTGCCTTATTTTAAAATTCTTATGACATTGTGTAGAATTAGAAAATCTTTGACAATCTCTAAAAATAATAGGGTCCAAGGAACAGTTGTATCTGTATCTGATTGATACAAAGGGTTTCTTATACTAAAAATAGTAAAAAAAATTTGAGCAGTTGTACATATATAAATAGTGGCAAATTATAAACACAATTTCCTTTGTGCAAATAATTGTGCATAAACTATATTTTGGAAAATTCAGGTTTGTTTATTCAGAATTTCAGGAATATCTTTTTTTTTATACAGCAACATTATTCATGAGCATGGACACAAAATTCTCTAACAAATTTAACCAAGCAAAATTTAATAAAGGATAACACATCTTGACCAAATAGGGTTTATCGCAGAAATCAAAAACTGGCTTAACACTCAAAAATCAACCAATATAATTCACAGATTTGTAAAATAAAGAAAAAACCATATGATCAACATCTTCATGATAAAATAACAGGAATATCTTTAAAAAGTATGCATCCCTTTGTTTCATGAAGCCTTTTTGGATTAAGGAAATGAGCACTCAATTGAAAAATCTGATTCCATATGACATTGTCTCCAAGTATTGGCACCTGAAATTGCAACCAGTGAGAGGATTAGCCTCAGGCAGGTCTGCCCATCTCCCTAACTGAAGGCCTTTCTTCTCCTAGTATGTGCGAGTATCTTTTGATACGAAACCTGATCTCCTCCTACACCTGATGACCAAGGAATGGCAACTGGAGCTTCCCAAGCTTCTCATCTCTGTCCATGGGGGCCTGCAGAACTTTGAACTCCAGCCAAAGCTCAAGCAAGTCTTTGGAAAAGGGCTCATCAAAGCAGCCATGACAACAGGCGCATGGATATTCACTGGAGGGGTAAACACAGGTAATTGGAAGTGGGATAAAGAGAGACAAATCAGGCCAACATCATGTGGTTCCCCCACCTCATTCCCTACCTGTGTGTATCAGCACTCACTGGTGTCTTCCTCTTGGGCCTATCACTAATTCTCTCTCCTTTCTGTACCTAAGTAACAACTGTATAGTCAAGTGTCAACCTGGAAGAATTACTGACATAGAAGGAAGCAGGCTGGGATATTTAATGGTTGACAACACTGAATTTAGAAACATGGCTAATGGAATTTCACAGAGTATTCTTAATAGCTCAGATTTCCACATGAGCATCCCATAATTTTTAAGGAATAATTTTTGTTTTAAATCAGAAGCTCTGCCTCTGTCCTTCAAGTGGGTCAAGATTGGTGCCAAATAGCTTTAATTTTAGTTAAATGCCATTTCCATCTGGAACACAAATTGTGATGGCAAAGCCTAGAATATGATGTGTTTATTATTTAAATGTGTCATTAAATCATCTCTGCACCAATAGAAGACACACACCACTCTGAATTCCAAACTGCTCTTCCTGCTGCCAAATGAGTCTATATGGTGGTATAGGCACACTGTCAAATCATTTCCTCCTGGCCCACTTACAGCTAAGTGCTTATCTGCAGAACATGATTAATCTGCAGCACATAATGGAATGGATTCCTGTATTTTCTTTTTGCCCTATTTCCCCAGCCTGAGTCAGAAGTGCTACTGGACGTGTGCAAATAGTGTTGCAGCTGTAAGTTAATGCAAACTTTTCACAAGGCTCAGTCATGTAGACATGTAGACACCTGGGGAGCTAGTGGGACACAGTGAACCTGTGGACCAACCAGCACTCAATAATACATTATCTCAGTATTTATTTTTATTTGTTTCTTGTTTGGGTGAGGTTTAAGTGAGAACTACACTGAGCATTCTCCTAAATACCTAGAATCTGGAAGCATTCAGCACACAACTACATAGAAGCATTTCAGCAGCGAAGTCTGCAGCCTGCTCATGCTGAGCACTGTTAGGTAAAAGCCTGCCTCCTCCTGTAACTGATATGATCTTACAACGATCTGCTTGGTCAGCTCTATTCTGCTTATCCTCTAGCAATCAAATATCTAGGAAGCAAATTTATTTCTATGACTCTTCAGGTTTGGGCTCAAGTTCTCTTGTCAGGAAATAGGCGTCACTTACCTGTAATTGTTTATTTAGTCCTTTGCTTTCCTGTCACATAGAGACAAACACAGAGGGTTCTACAAGTTCAAAAGAAATTCTAACCCATTTTCTTAGAACTCAGAACTTTATTGTTTATTTGTTGATAATCAGATGAGGTGAGAGGTTATAGGAGGGTACTTCAGGAAGTTAGTGTAAAATTGGAATTAAAAGATATATTTTGGTGCAAAAGTATAGCTGTCTTGTAATGAAATTACAGTTTTCAAATTGATAACAAAGATTCTCTGAGTTTAAGGTGTTTTATTTATTCTATATAGACATTGGATGGCTTTCTTCACACAAATTAGATAAAATGCACACTAGTGTTCAATCTGGCCTTAAATACATGTAGTTTTTAGAGAAATTTGTCAAAATTTGATATCCTATGCATTTTAATCTTGGGAGAAACAGTTATAGTTTCCTCTTGAACCCTGGGAAGGTGCCTTCTGTTAAAGACAAGACGACTGTATCTGTCCTTGCTCTTAGGTGTCATCCGTCATGTTGGAGATGCCTTGAAGGACCATGCATCTAAGTCAAGAGGGAAGATTTGCACCATAGGCATTGCTCCCTGGGGAATCGTGGAGAACCAGGAGGACCTGATTGGAAGAGATGTAAGTCCTGGGGGCTGCCGCCCCTTCCCATGAATACTCCTAGAATGGACAGCAGTACACAGAGGAGTAAAAATCAACTTTTCAAAATGTACATGTTACAGAACTCTTTTAGTCCCCACCTCCCCAAAAATGAAGCTGATGTTAGGGATGGTTTATCGAGTGACTACTAATTTTCAAAAATTTGTGTAAAGATCCATTTCAACTCTTACTACCACCTCTCTGCTTGAGTATTTACCCATGCAGCAAGTGCTGTTATCACGTTTATGTTAAGACTAATTAACCCCAGGTAACATATGGCAACATGAACTCCTAGATCCCCAGTGCCCTTCAAGTAGCTCAGGAGAGAGAGCTATAGAGATTCTTCCCATTTCCTCTCTGCTCAGCCTTACTTTTTACTAAATGCAGGGGTGAAAAGAGGTCTAGTTGATTCTTTGTTTCCCACTCGGAAGTGACTCAAAAGCCCTTGGACAAGTGGCAAGAAGCATCCACATCAAGGCTTTCAAATTACTTGCAGAAATTTCCTATTTATCTAAAATATTTAGGTTAATGAATGAGATATCACTTTATAATTTACTCTAACTAAAGTTTATTGGCTGTTTTCTATTATACACAAAATGACTGTCTCAAGCAGCAATTCCCAAAGGGTTATGGAGACGGAACTGACTGGAAAAGTAAGTGCTACCAATTTTTTAAGAATGTCTGGGACTAATGTTTCATGGAGTATCCTTAGAGTACTGCAGGCCCCGGATTCCAAACTGGTTGTTAATGTACGTTGATTGTAAACCAGAACAAATGTATTTCTAAAACAATTTGAATGTACTAAGGTGCCCTGAATACCAAAAGCATTTGGTAGTCCATTTTATTAATGCACAAATTAATTATTTAAAATATTATGATTCATAAGTCATTTTGAAATTCATAGCTTTAAGACCGCTAATGTAAACCTCAGTTGTTACTTGATTTGGAGGGAGAGACTGGTTTGGAACATTCTCATGCTGATGTACTGAGTATAAGGAAATAATGACATCAATTGACCAATCAGTCGCAAAGAGTTCTGGTCCACATGTTTGGTGCTGTTGTGTTTGTTCAACTTGTAAATCTTACATGACTAGAGCAGTGTTCAGGTACATTTCCTTGTCTTGCTGGGCTGGGAAAACTAATACTGATTCTTTTTCCTCCTATTATGTCTTACCAGTTGTATACAAATAGAAACTTACTTATGCCAATCAGATTCTATTTCCCAAAAGTGCTCTTGATCCCTGCTCCTAGGAACGTGCCAAAAGCAAAGCCATGTCTCTCAAAGATCCACTTAAACAGCAGAGAGACCGCTGTGAGCAGGAAATGAAAACAGGAAAGCAATTGTATTTTAATTTTTCATTAGGTTTCTGCTGAAGGGAGACTGAGTGCTCTGGTACCTTCTTCCTCTAAATTTGGGGAAGTGGAATAGGCACAGGATTTCTCAGGCTCATAACAGAGTATACTCTATTATGCTAGCAGAGATAAAACATAAGAGTATGTTTTCCAAGTTGTAAATCAGAGTAAAGGTGCTGTTATTGGTATATAGATTAATGATGTAATATGTTAACAAAAAATAGGTACATGAATAAAATGTTGTCACTGAAGAAAATTTCCCTAAAAATGGCCAAGTTAGAAATGTCCAACAAGCTTCTTAAGTACTTATAAAATTTTCATACCTACTTTCATACAGTACCTTCTATCCTTTTTCTTCCATTTCCTATAATCAAACTCACATTCCACCACTTCAAATTTCCATCAAAATGCAGTCATGTGGAAAAAGAGAAAGAGGAGTTACATTCTTGGTCAAGTCTATATATTCCACAGTAATATTAAATTGCTACAAAATATATTTCAAGGGAAATCTAGAAAATATATTTAAAATAGATAAAAAATGCTGCATTTCTTATGCCTGATATTTTAATGCAGTGGATTTATTTCCAAACAGATGGAAAATATAGATCATTTTATCTATGTGGGGCTGAATCTCAAATGAGCACATTTATAAGCTGAAATTATTTTATTAACTGATAAAAAGTAGTAGATGCAGCAATTGCTTTTGTTCTTGGAATTTAAATATCATCATAAGGACCCTATAAAGGTGAATACTAGCCTGGAGTAGGAAAAATTAACTCGCCCTTGAGTCTTCTAGAAAATCTGAGCCATTCCCCTCCCTTCAAGTTTTATCTTCTAGCTGAACTTTCATCATGTTCAAAATTGAACTTAGAATCCCAAACTTAGAAGATGCCCAATGGATTGGTCTTGATGAAAATAATCCTGGAGGGAAAATATGTATTATGGAAAATACACAGTAACTCTTACCCACTATACAGCTTTATCTCTAATCATCACACTATGGTAACTATTATGTGGGCATGTGTAGCCAAGCACTTGAAAGTGAAGCTCAAAGGAGGAGGTGCTGGTGAGGGTTCAGTCTGCTGGGTGAGGCGCAAACTAGTGTGGAATGGGAACAGACCTTTCTCTAAACCCTTTCAACGTTGCATGACATACTGAGTGACAGAACTCACCTGGATGCTTTAACTTTAAACACATTCCACTCTGTTTAATCAAACCTCTCTTGTCTCAGTTGATAGGTCAAAGTCATAGGCTTTGGTAAGGATTAATAGCATTATCACGAGAATGGGATCCTTAGGAAGGATGAGTTTGGCTCCCCTCTTGCCCTCTCTTTGCCTTTATACCATGGCACGCACGAGACCCTCAGCAGATGTAGCCACACAATCTGGGACTTCACAGCCTCCTGAACCTTGAGCCAAATGCATTTCTGTTGATTATAGATTACCCAATCTGTGGTGTTCTGTTACGGCAGCACAAAATGGGTAAAGGCAAGTATTTGGATGATAACTATTGTTGGTTCTGCCACTTAGAACTGAACACATAATCTGTTTTAGTTACTGAGGTTTACTCTACCTCGTTGCTTTCTTGATATTATTCCTAATACTCCTTTGCTCTCTTAAAATGAATCAGCCTGTGCTTTGAGAAAATTTAGCTCAAGGCTTTGGTAAGCTGCTATAACAAAATACCATAGACAAAGGGACCTGTAAATTCTTCACAGTATAGCAATTCCTTCTCACTGTGCCATCACATGGTGAAAAGGGCAAGGGATCCCTCCCTGGGGCCCCTTTGGTAACAACACGAATCCCTCGCATCAGGGCTCTGCCCTCACAAGTTCATCATCTATTTCCTAATACCACTACTCTGGGGGGTCAGGATTTCAGTAGATGAATACTGGGGTAACACAAACATTCAGTCCATTATGCTAACTTAAAAACTTCTCCAAAATAGGAGTTGGATTCTTTTCCTTTTTTCTTGGGAGTCACCAACCCAGTACTCACCAGAGCCCAGGGAAAACTTGCCAATCAGCACAGAACACATGAAGGAAGCAAAGGTGTACTTAGCATTAACAGACACACTGATGTAACCCGTTAAACCTGTGAGATCTGACATCTTCATCTCTAAATGGATGATAAAAACACATGCTCTATATTCATATAACTTCTACAAGCGTAAGCTTAATAGTAAGTATCATTTATTGAGCTATTATTGTAGCATGCTCTACACAATTATATATATTAACTTTATGATTTGTGCATTATGCTCCTTTTATAGTAAACTAATCAAGGATTAGAATGAAGATACAACTACCTCCAAAGCCCATTCTCTTAATTACTAGTATGTCCAAAGATAGTACCATTAAATATTATCTTTTTGTTGTTGAGATATTGGCAAATATCTTATGCCTGTAAATTGAACTCCAAAACAGATTCAGTGAATGACTTGAGCCCCTTTCTTTTTCCCCTAGACAATTCTGGACTGGATAGATCATTATGAAAGTATCACCAGTGTACTGTCAAGAAGGAAGTCCAAATGAATTAGAATTTTCATATGACATATTTTAAATTAAGTTCCTTACTTTAGAAAACAATTGGACCAGAATTGTTTCGGGTAATTGAACAATTTTACAGCCCTTATCATTTATCTTTTCCCAGATATAGATTAACAAGACACATGCCAAATTAAAATCTAGACCTAATCACAAGAAAAAGCACTTTTCACTTTAGGTAGATTTCCTACACATCATCTCATGTGGTTATTAAATTATCTTTCCATGCAGTGATATAAATTAGAATAAGTAGAAAATATTTCCAAGTTTTACAATATTTGAAAGTGCTCTTTTGAGGCCATCTTCATGTTTCAAGCCAAAAAAACCTCAAGTCCAATAAATCGATTGATAATTTCCCTGTAATTATCTCCTCAGTACACTCATCATTTAGTTCCAAGGCAAGCCAGCTATGACTTCATATGGTAACCACAGAAAAACTTCCTGACAGCAGTGCTGTCATGGGGTTTACTGGACTACTAAGACTAGATTACACAAGCTACAGCCAGGGGATGTGTGAAGGAAAGGTCAAAGACAAGGAATCTGTCACAGTAATGGAGGGGAGAGCCAACACTCCTGACAATACCCAGGATCAGGGCTACTTTGAGGCAGCAGGTCTATTAACTCATGTGGGAAATGCAATTTGGGTAAAGACAATGATGAGTTTGGATTTGGGCATGGTGATTTTGAGGTTCCATTGAGATATCTACACAAGGTTTGGGAGACCAGTGGGTATGTGAAGCAGAAGTTTAGAAGCAAGATATGGCTAAACACTTAGACTTGATAGAGATGGAGTTCAAGACAAGTAGCTGGCATTACCACAGGAGAGTAGGGAACGTGAGAGAAAGAAGGGCCTATCCCTGGATCCTGATGGTCCCCAATATTTAGTGGCTGAGAAGATGAAAAGCAGTCTCCAAAGGAAGATTATACTTCAGAAACACGGAGTGAAGGGCAAGGTTAGGGCATGTAAGACCTTGGCAGTGTCTATGCAACTCATGAAGATGGTTCAGTGCTGATTAGTCTGAGCTCTTTCGGAAAGATGATAAGTAGGTGAGCATTCTTCTGCGTGGAGGAGGGAGATGGCACA